TATGCGAACTCAATTTTAGCAGAAGGTGAAGAAGAACATAATAGGAAAAAGACTGTCCCGAGAGGAATTGATTTCTACAAAGATCTCAGATAGACCTTGGCAACAGGTAGCAACAGATTCGCAGATCCGTTTTTCTGGAAGTACACACATATTATTGTAGACTTTTATTTTTCCAGATATAGATTTTGCTCTACTTACAGACCTCTTTGGTGTGGATCATCCAAAAAACTGAAGCCAATATTTGCAAGCCATGGAGTTCCTGAAGTTCTTGTATCAGACAATAGACATGGGTTTACCTCCAATTTATTCTGAGAGTTTGCAGATAACTGATTTTCAACATCAGATTGATAGTCCCTGCTATTTCCAGAGCAATGGAGAAGCTGAGAGTGCAAACTCTGAAACAGCTTCTACATAAATTCATAGATTCACCACACCTTCAGCTCTCCTGTGAAATACGAATTTTCATTTCTCCCTAGGAGAACTTTGCAAAGATTGTGAATGTCCTATGCCTGATGAAGGGTGCCTGTGCCCGAAAGCCTGCAAATAAAGACTTTTTTTGTTGTTGCAAATATCTAGTTGGTCTAATAAAAGATATCACGTCTTCCATGAGCTTTTATTCCTTTTGCCTGTAGACCAACGTGACTACAACCTGGATACCTAGATCCACCTCTTGCACTTCTGATATATCAGTCTATACCACTTACACTGGGATTCTCTACAACTGAACTGCTCATGGGAAGGCTACTTAGGACACACTAACCCATGGCACCAAAAGTGAAAATGTAGATGGCTCAACCTGATGGAATTTAAGCGAAATACTGAACTAAAACTTAGCAGCAAAAACCTTCAATACTAGAAATAGATAGAGCAAAACAACTCCCAGAGCTGCTGCTGCCATGGGACAGAGCTTGGCTCAAAGCTCCTAAATGTATGGAACTGTTTAAAACATGGCATGTAAGATCCTACTTAGCAAAAATTCCCAAAAACCCTCTCTGGAGAAATATGGTTAATCATTGATATTTTCTACCTGAACAAGAGGACAAGATCAGACACTAACAAGGACAGCACTGGACAATGAAAATGAATTCCCTTCTCATGGAAATCTGCAGGACAATCTCAAAAAGTGAAGCTCTACAGAAGCTAACACACGGACATGAATCTCCTCAGAGACTTGACCTTTAAACATACATTTCTGGTTGCATACGTCTGTATTTTTATGTCAGTTTTAAGAGTTACAGTTTATTGTTAATAATCATCTATGAAGATTTGTAATCTAATCCTGATTTTTTTTTTTTTAATAAAGGAAATATAGCATGATCAGATTCTTGGTCTTCACCGCCCACTAGAGAGGATTGGAGTGGCAACATCAAAATTAGAGAGCCCTTGGGGGTGGGGAGTCCAATAATTTGTATTATGATTTCCCTACCACTACAGTGTGTCTGAATTATCAGGTGCTGACCATTCTCATAGTAACCTCTTTTGGTGAAAAAAAAGTGTGTGCGTGTGTGTGTGTGTGTGTGTGGGGGGGGGGGGGTTGTATTAATTCTTTTCATATAAGGAAGCTTTATACCATTTTCCATAGATTTGATATACTACGTAATCATATTTTGCTCAGAGCTGGGAGAGTTTCAGGTACCTAAAAATACCACATTGTTTGAAGTTCCTCTTTGAAATAAAGCAAATAAACCAAATGAGTATTAATGGGATTAAGTATCCTTCTGACATTCGAGGTTGCAGCAGAGAATGCATCAGCATTTTATGGAGAAATTAGAAGATTCTGTGGGTTCTAGTATGGCAGACTGGAAGGAAAGCCTAGGTTTCAGCTCACTGAAGACATGGCCTACAAGACAGTCTCTTTCAGATGCCAAAAATCCCTACAGTCAATCAAGCACAAAGACCCTGTGTTCCCTATAAACTGAGTTCAGCCTAAGTAAAATTTTGAGAAGATGCCTGGCTAAGTATTATGCCTTATGAAATCCACCTAGGTCAGATCCATCTAATCCTCTTTCCCTCATATTGCTCTGTGTACCAGTACAGACTTAAAATCTCAGTTAAGTATCAAACAACGTTGTGAGAACCAGAGCTATCCCAACTCATTATCCATAGGATCCTCAAGGTTAGTTGTTGTAAGTTAACATCTTGCAAAGGGAATTATTTCAAAAGCATGCAATTATTCCTGTATAAGAAACAAAAGGTTAAGTTTTAAGGCTTGCAAGTAGAAATTCAGGAAACTTTCAAGTTTGACCAGTCTATTTAACAGTGCCTATTATTGGAGTTGCAAGGAAAAAGTGTAAAACTACTTCAATTAGATTTTTTCGGTGCTCAACGCCAGCACTGAAAATTAGCTCACGTGCGAAATATGTTTATGTTGAACTGTGCATAAAACAAGTCATTATGTCAAAGTTTCCCACATGATGAGAGTTTCATTAGAGGATAAGAGGGTTATAAAAGCCAAGCCTTGACTGACTCAGAGGCAGCATGACTGCCATGGGAAACTACTAACTGTCTAAGTGAATCACATAACAAAGGACTGAGCTGACACAGCAAAAGAAAGACTCCACTTCCATCATTAGAAAAAGTAAAAACTGAATTTTCTAAATTAGCAAGCTATCCTTTCCCAACAGTGTTATACACAGGGCTACATCTTTCATTTTACATCACTAGCTCATTGGACAGGCATCCTATATTGACCTTTGAGTGTCCAAGGAATTTGACAGCTAATTTTTAAAAACTATTTTTGATGCAATTGATTCTTATTGTATTATGCAGACATAAGCAAATAGTACTATACATACACCTAGAAGAACCTTACATTAAAAAGAGTCAATTATATTGGTTCCCTACAATTTGGTTCAGTCACCCAAAAAAAAAAAATTACCTGCACAGAATGTTAACTATATATAATTCAGATTGAGAATGATTATACAATTTGAAATAAAGATTTAAATTTTAGCATTTTCTAAAATTTTAGAAATTGGAAAACCTGCAAATTAAATATTTGAATGATATATTTTACCAAACTTTCAAACAAGAAATCAAACATTTTTTAAAAGAAAAAAACAAACAAAGATACAACCTACTTCTTTTCCCAGTAAACGTGGCTAACAAAGGAATAATACAAAAGCTGTAAGATCCCACTACCAGCAAGGTCAGCAAGGTAATATCATAGTGGTTTCCTGAATCGGCTGGTGGTGTGAGTGTAGAATTGATGAAATTATTAAAAGAAAAACCAGTTTCTGTGCAACTGCGGAGTCCTCCTGGTATAGTCATTTAAAAAGGATCAAAGCGAGCTTAAAGCCAGAACGACTGCAGCCATGTTACCCCCTCATGTTCCTCCTGCTTGCTCTTAGTGAATTAGAGTGGAAAAAAATTGTAAGCTTCAAGGCAGTAGACAAAATGGATTAAAACAGCTAGCAAATAAGAGGCATCAGTTCGGATACTACTCTGAAAGGAATACATCTCTCTCTGTTATGAAGCAATGAACCTTTTTTCCCCTCCCCTCCTAACAAAGAAAGACAAGAAAGCAATTACAACCTCCATACAAATTTCAAATATGGTGCTAAAACTGAACCACAAAAGTCAACATGGCTGTCAGGGAAACGGAAACAGTTTGGTTATAGGTGAAATAGAGATTAAGCTATGTAAAATTTAATTACCAATTTTTAAAAGCACATGGAAGGTTTCAGTTTAAGGAGAAGGAAATAGTAGAAAAATAAAACTCACAGTTTTAAGGAAATGAGGAACAGACAGAATCTTCAATTCATCCAGAACAGATTTATTTTAAACAACTTAGCATAAAAGCAAATCCTTTCCTTAGTCCTCAGGACAAAAACAGCTGTGACACTGACAGGATATTTGAATCCACTCATTTAAATTTGAATAGCCTTGTTAGATGCGTCATTTTCCCTATTCATGGGTTAAGTTGTGTTCTTTCTGTGCATTTTCCCCTTTCTTAAAATTCCTGCAAGTGCTGAGAGTCTTCATCAATACATGAAGATATTAAGAGAATAAAAGATAGGACCATTAGATTTAGCAATTTTATTGGTGTGCCACCTATCAAGATAGTTTTTCTAGGTGTAAGCAACTTATCAGTTCACAGATATTTTAGGTACAAAAGTAAATATCCACTAAGTTTTGTCTACATTGCACGTTTTGTTTTAAAACTTTGTATGTTACTAAAACTGCTTGATGCACTACTTCAATATTACTGTAGAAATCCCACTCACAAAATTCAGATTTATTGATGCTTATATTAACTGTGTACAAAAACCCCTTCAGAAGTAAGCATCTTGCTCAGTAATACAGGATGGTTTGGTCTCAGAGGCATAGAAGTGATCTTTCAATACAGTTAACTAGTTGTGCCTGTTAAGAAGTTTGTAAAAAAAAGCCCACATTCTGAAGGGACAAAGCCATGAGTCCTTGGTTGAGCAATACAGGCTTCCCTCGCTGAATGTGGATTCTGCATGTACAAATTTGCTCTCATGCAATGACCCTTTTTATACCAAAAATTAATTATATACACAAGGTAAATTCACTCCTATGTGATCGGTGTGGTGCAAGCCCAGTCAGCTGCTCTGTGCAGTGCATTGTGGGAGTGACATGCACCAAAATATATAGCCTCCTGTGTAGATCTGCGCTCCTTGCTTATTGTCTGTATCACATGTTTCTGTAGTTTTCATCCCCATTATAGCTTCTAAGCGTCCCACTAGCTTCTCTCTTACCCCTCTCTGCTGTTGGTGAGTACCAAAATCATCTTGTAGAAGTGGTAGAAATGGTTCTGGGGGTCAGTACAGTCAAAGTCTTGGAATGTATCTCTATTTGTTACATTGTAAAGTGGGTTCCCTTTATGTGAATTCGAGTTATACGCCGTTTTCCAGAAAAGCATGTACAGCATAAAGCAAGCAAAACCTTTAGTCCCAAGCTGACCTCAAGGAATTTTGTTTTTCAACCAAGAATGATGCGGCCCCAGAGAAAGACTTAAAAACTGACAAAATACTTACAATTATTGCTGCAAGTACTTTGCTCACTCTGAGTGCTACTGACTGAAGAGATGCTAGGTGTTCTTCTGAGTACTGGCACTTTGGATTTAGGAAGCGATTTTCCAGAACTAGACCAGGAAGCTGGAGAGTTTCTCACAGGTGCAGAAATCCCTCTTGGAGAGGATCCCACTCCTATTAATTTAAGAGAGAAAAAAACACTTCAGTGACATTTACCACTAAGTACAAGGATAAATTTGTCCCTAAATAAATGCATATACAGACAGTTTTAGGCCACTTTGATATGATTTATTGTACACAATATATTAAAAAGGACATACCAGCTTCAACATTTTAGTCCAATTTAGGCTTGCCCTGACAAATCTTCTACAATACAAAGAGGAAGCATGGAAGCTTCAAGTTCCAAGTTTTAGCTACCCACTGAATACAGGATAAAAACAGTTTGCCTAGATCGAAAACACCAACCTCTCAAATCAGACTGCTTTTGTGCAAGTGCTCATCTTCCAACAACAGAAAATTCTACAAGTTAACTGCAAAAGGCATAGTTCTCTGTAATGGAAGCCCTAAATGCAGACTACCTCTACCTCAGAAAAGGGCTCCAAAAGGGCCTTTTATCCCCTATGCTTTCAAAATATTTCCCCTAATAGCTGATAATAGGAGGGAGGCTGATTGTTATCTGTTCCTACATGCCGATTGCTAATGAGGGACAGTTAAAACCAACAGGTATTGTACTTGGGAAAGTAAAATTAGCCATGCAAGAGTAAAATCAATGCAAACAGTGAATAGAAGCAGCAAATGATACTGTAACTCACACAATTGCTTAAACAGTTTCTAAACTGTTTTGCCAAGCCAAAAATCTTTAAATCATGTTGCCATTAATAGCTGTACTGGCAAGCATGTTTTTGAATAAAATGCCATATGGTATCAATTAGATTGAACAAAGAAGTGCCTGAAACGTTAACTCCACTCTTATGTAACTGAATAAATTACAGGTCATTTTCAGATATTTTTATTGTGGTCATAACTAACAAAGACAACTCTTACACATGGACAATTTGCAATTTCACATATGTTTAGCCAACTAGACTTCCAGAACCATTCCTTAAAAATTGACTAATTCAGATTAAATTATAACAGCCTAGAAAAATGGAAGTGTATAAAGGTTCCTTGCTTTCATCTTTAATAAAATGAAAAATCTTGTTACATTTTTGTTAGATTTTCAGTACTTTTTAGCTCTATTACTTTATAGCCAGTTTATAGTGCTCCAATTTATATAGGCATGCCAATAGTCCAGGTTGCTCTTGGATATCAAATATTAAAGAACGAAGACTAGTATAAAGATAAAAAAATGCTTTAAGATTTTTTTAAAGGGTAGGAAACCTTTCTCCCCTTTAAATCTAATATACACAATTTCAACACTAGGTGGTGCTGTATGACTGCATATGCAGTGTCAAGACAAAATGACTACCAATTCATTTAATATTTAATTTTAAGCAATGCTTATCTATACATTTTTACTTGCTTTTGCATTACTGAACCTACATAAATTGAGAGCAGTGATGAAGCAGTTGTTCCACTATAAACTCTAGTTATAATCATAAATCAGAATCTCAGTGAAATCAAACTGATCTTGAAAAAAATCCACAGCAGCAAAGATATTAAAAAGAAGGGGTGAAATGTATTTTAGCAAGTGTATTACCACTTATTTTGGTGTTAGTATTGGTTTTCAGATTTTTACTTTCAGGAAACACACGCAAGGACATTACACTTTTCAATTAAAAAATTCTGAAATGTGGCAAAACACTTGGTTTGAGAATTTACCTAATAGGCAAGTAAAATGCCAGCAACTTGAAGTATTGTACATACGAGAAAAGCTTAACATTTGAAACATTTGTAAGTTTTTGGAATTTCTACGGGTGTCTGAATAGCACTGCAAAACCCTCATTTGGTAAAGACATAATTTGCATTTGTAATATTTAAGTCAAATACGTATTTCATAAAATAATACTTCAGAACTTATGGAACTGTATAAACAGTGTAAACTGAATTTGCAATATTTTAAATACACTAAACTTTATAACAAAGGGGAAAAAATCATTTGTTTAGCTAGCCACCAGTTATGTCTTAATGTTCAGAGCTGAGGATGCCATGCATCTTATCACAGTATATGTAGCACCTAAAAGATGTTCTACAAATGTCCAAAAACTAATGATACACGATTCTGGACCTTATGAATAAGCCAGTCTCTGATATGACACTACAGCAGGGGAAATTCAGGTTGGATATTAGGAGGAATTTTCTGACTATGAGGGTGGGTCAAGCATTGGAACAGACTACCCAGAAAGCTGTGGATGCTATCCCTAGACATTTAAGAAGAAGTTAGACACTTGGCTGGAAAGGTTTAGGATAAGGATGTTTCTGCCTTGAACAAGAGGCTGGATTGACGAGGTGACCTGATGGTGTTTGTTTTCACTTTGCTTTCCTGTGATACTATGACAAAAATGGAAACTAGTCCAGAGGGAAATTAAGATCATCAAGATTATGATGTTATTCAATAGATAAAATCTAGAGAATAGCATGAGGAAGCAGTTTTTAACTGCTATGGCTTAAAAATAAAAAACAAAAAGAAAACCAAAGAGAGGGACAACCATCATCATTACCTGTTGGAATAACTACACAGTAGCAAGTAGTCTAGAGATCTGTCAGACTAAAATGAAATTACTCCAGGAAGCTCCTCAGTTCCATGAAGACAGGTAACTGCCCAAAGCATTTCCAAATGTCCATAAAGGAATGGAGCTATACTGCTTTCCAGCAAGGCATAGACAACATGAATCCCTGCATGCCTCAGCTTCTGGAGGTTCCCAAAGACAACTGTGCAACACTCATTCACTCTCTGCCCCACTTTGGGATGTCAGAGGATTGAGCAACCTTCCCCCAGCCCCACCTATGATGTTGTGCTGGAGGGGGCAGATGGTTCAAGAAAGGTTTTACAATGAAACCCTTCAAATATACCCCTCTGTTTTCTGAGGGTGATTTTTAAAATCATTTCCTCAGGTATGAACGTCTGCACCCCAGGTTGCTTATACCACTTCAAAGGCACTTGGAGAACTTCAAACAGGACCTTTGTCAATGGCAGAGAACTTCTGACAGTTGAAGGAACAGGACATCTTCAGCTCACTCCCACTCTCCACCGCCCATCAAATCCCAACTCAAGTTTTTCATCTGCAATAATGCTGTGATTCTCAACCAGGGTTCTGGGGCACCTAGGGGTGCCATAAGATCTTTTGAAGGGCTCCAAAAGGTGTGAGAAAGCAAGAGCAGTTTCAGGCTCCTCCCTGCCTGGTTGCTGCTCAGCCTCTCTGCAAGGAGATAAAGCAAAGTGATAAATTCATTTTTAAAATGGGGCAACGCACAATTCACAAGTTATGGAGGAGTGCCTTGAGTCAAACAAGAGGTGCCCCACAGCTAGGAAGAGGGAGAATCACTGCCTTAATGACTATAGGCTTGTGTTCTTGTTTTTGTTTTTTAAGCTGGTATATTGCCAACTTTGAAACAAAGGGAATCTCTGTGTATAGATACTGGATCTATGGGAATTGATGCTTATATTCCAAATGGGAAGCAGTAAGTATGGGTCTTTTGTATTAAAGGTTGTTCATTATTAATACCATAGTAAAGCAGCTGTTAAACTAAAAATTAACATTAGGGAGAGATGCTACTAATTTTGAAGGTCAAGCATCATTTACACATGCCACCTTTAAACATTTCAAATCTAGGAGTCATCAGCAAGAGCACAAGTCTTGAGGATTTCAGAACTGGGAATCTGTGTAGACTAAGCCTGTGCACATGCATGCACACAAACACACAACTTTAGTTTGCAGCCCTAAAGGAAAATATTTAAAATTCAACATGAAAGAAACAGGTTTTGAACATAAATGGCTTTACACTTCCTTAATATTAACTTCAGAATTATGTTTTTCTACAATTGCAAACCTACCTTGGAAATGCTCAACTTGTTCAGTAATTTGGAGCTGGCAAACCATATCCAGTTTTGACGTACAGAAAAGATCTTATCTACAAGAGGGACACAAGTCTGGGTTTTCCATGATACAGCTTCAATAGATAAAGAGCAGTGTTGTGCATGAAAGCACAAGGGAACAGCCACATCTACCAAAAATAACCTTTAAACATTCTTATAATTGTATGAGATTGTTAAGAAAGCGTAATAAATGCAGCAGCATAATTAATACTTAACAGTACGCTGCAAGTTCCCTTGCTTATTAAGTATCCCTTGGATATCAAGTACTGCTGTACTATATTTCAAGTTCAAATCTCACTTTGAGCTAAGTGAAGTCATCCATGAGCACAGTAGAAGTACTTTGCAGAAACAAATAGTTGGTTGGGATCTCACATATAGCACAGGCGACAGCAGCAATAAGAGTTAAAGAATGCAGCTGACTTCATAAAATCCTATTACTGTACAAAAAATAAAAATGAAAGATGCAGACAAAAATTAAAGTCATTTTGGCTATTACATGTTAGCTTAGAGAAACATGTCAGACAAGAAGAGTTAAAAACTGCCACTATCCCTCTAAAAACGTTCGTTTATACTAAAGTCTGATCAGCTAAGGGATACCATGATGGATCTGTCACAACCCAAAGGGTGTGATTTTTGTTTTTGTGTGCTTCAGCACTGCTAAATTGTCCCCGCTAAATTACAGCTTCCTTGCACGGTGGAGTTTTCTGCTGCAAAAGAGAACCCCAGTGCAAGGGAGAATTCCCCGCCAATTTGAAGCTTTCTTTGCAGGGTGCATTTCTTTGTTGCAGCACAGACATGCTCGTTCCAAAGAGTTCCCGCCATTTGTATGCTAATTTGAGTCCCATTATTGGTCAGTTCTAAATTATTCCCCCGTGGCGGCTAGTGATTGGCTTGCTAGCCGTATAAAGGGCTTGAGTGGTTTCCGCCCAAGTTGGAGGACTCCACGAACACCAGGAGGAGGAGACTTCACGCTGTGTGAAGATCTCTAAGCACTGCGGATCCTTACGGACCCAGCGCATTTCAAGCAGGCAACAGAGGTCTGATCAACCTCTAGCCTCTCCCCGTCGTCGATCGCAGCCCAGACGTATCCCTTCCTGCGCGCAAAAGAACCGGACCCACGGAGCCTAGCAAACTTCAT